TATGCACCTTCTCAAAGGAGTTAATTAGTTTAGAATAATAATCACCTTTCCAATAGAACATGAACTCATGAGTTTGAGTGGGCGGGTACATGACATAAGTTAAAGTGAAAAAAATAATATCATATATTGTATTACTTTTAAAAAATATTATAAGTTTTATAGTTGTTTACTTATTTTTTAACTTTAAATTTGCTGTGACGAGGCAATAGAGTTTGGGACTTGTTTAATTCGAAATTTGGAATATTTCATCACTTAAATTCCCCTTAGGCTTTTAAAAGTTTCTTGTTGGACCATGAATTTTAAAATTTACTTAATTTTAATATTGCAGAAGATATATTGGTGGGAGGAGATGATGCTCGTGTATATAGAATTTGGAGAAAGCACTGCCGGAACCGTTTTCGGGATGAGCTGCATGTAATTTCAAAAGAAATGGGAAAATTACAAAAAATTACCTGAGTTCATGCATAGAGAGACATTCAAAATATTGCTAGCAAAGTGGCGGAGCCCACAATATATGGCGCTACAAGAGAGGGGTCGGCTAAACCGGGCAAAGGGTCCTCGTGTAACTCACACGACTGGATGCATTTCAATGGGGATACATGAAGATCGGTTGGTTAGTATTATGTGGCTTTTTTATGTATACTTTTATATATAATGCTGAACGTTATAAAATGTTAATTTTATTAATATTATTTTCATTTTGAACAGGCAGCCAAGCGAGGGGGAGTTAGGCCATCACAGCTAGAGACGTACTTGTATACTCACACAACTCGCAGGCCTGAAGGTCAAGAAGATGCAGCACCGGTTTGGGTGTGTCCAGAAGCTGAGCAGACATATGTAAGTACCAAATTTCTTGATGATATTTATTATAATTAATATTAACACAATTTAAATTATTCTAACTAATGAAAATTTATATTTGAAATAGACTGTTGCTCACCAAAAGTATGTGGAAAAGCATGGGCCAAACAAGGAGGTATGGCCAGGGTGGGATCCAGAAATATGGAAGGATGTCGTCGTACCCCTTAAAAAGGGTCAGATGAGAGGATTGTCCACACTTCAGGACCCAGCAGAGCATGGCATACCATGGCAACGATATGAGATTAGTGAGGCCTCGTCCTCTACCACCAGGATGCTTACGACGCAGGTCCATCAGTTGCAGGCTGAGCTCGCACAAGTTCGGCAAGAAATGGCAAAGCGAGTACAATCAGAGACTGCACGTATTCAGTCAGAGGTATCACAGAGAGTTTCAAAATTTGAGGCTGCTTTTGATAGGAGATTTCAAGAGCATATTGCATTACTTAGCCAGCAGTATGCATCTATAGGCTTTCCGCCATCACAGACTGTTGCTCCTTCACGGCCTGGTGGTCCTTCATAGGCTGCTGGTCTTTCAGAGGCTGATGGTCCTTCAGAGGCTGATGGTCCTTCACAGGCAACTGGGTCTAGATTTGATCATTTATCGCCACCTACTTAGGTAAGATGTAGAAGAGAATTGATTAACCTTTAAAAACTAAATTTGAATTAAGTTTGCTGACTTTCACAATTGTAGGTAGAGAATTAGAATCCGATTGATTTTCGATCATTCGCTGCAGTAAGAGCAGAAAAGAACAGGAAATTAATACCATACATTACATGGGAATGTAGGATGGATAATTGGAAGTAGTTTTGATGTATCCTAGTGAAATACTAGCAGTTAGTATTAATTATCTCAGCTAGAGAAAGATATTGTGTCTTGATTTTGGAGCTGGGAGTCTGAATGAGAGTATATATGGTATGAAATATATTTCTGCTCATTTCCTGGTTTTTTAGGTTTGGTTTGGCTGACTAATCATTTAAATCTAGAATTTTATTGCTGGAATTTTTTTATGTTTTGAACTGTGTGCTGACTATTTGTGAATTTAGGATCTGTTGTAGCATTTTTATGTTTGGGAGCTAGTACTTAGTTAAGAACTGAAGAATGAGGGATTTTCCTTGATCCAATGTGTGAGTTCTTTGGGTCCTGTGGTTTTAGCCATTGCTATGTTAAAGAATTGTTCAAAATAGCCGTAGACAATTGAATTCTAGTAAATCCCATATTTTTGCCATGCAACTGTGTATGTGGTTTTGTTGATACAGTGAAATGCAACTAGCACTGCATGCATTTCTATTAGCATTAAGAATGTTCAGTAGTAAGAATAATTCGCTGCATTAAGAGTAGAAAAGAACAGGAAATTAATACCATACATTACATGGGAATGTAGGATGGATAATTGGAAGTAGTTTTGATGTATCCTAGTGAAATACTAGCAGCTAGTATTAATTAGGTTTAAGTACCATTTTAGTCCCTCAACTTATCACTTTGGTACCAAAATTGTCCTTCACCTTTAAAAAATACCAAAATTATCCTTAAACTTTCATTTTTGGTACCAAAATGGTCCTTCCGTCAGTTAAATGCCAGGTGGCTCGTTAAGATGCCACAAAATCACCAATTTTCTTTTATTTTTAATGACGTGTAAATCCAGCAATGATATTTTTGACACCGTGGCATTTTTTACACGTCGATGGTCATCTTCTCCGTTTTTCTTTTTAGTGGAGCCCACATGAAAATTTTGTTTTCTCTTTTTCCAGTTTCAATCAAGTTCCCCAAAAATCACAAGTTATCTTCGTTTCTCTTTTCATTTCCTTTTCAAATTTAAAACCCTAAACCTACTACTACTCCTGCAAAATTAA